TCCCTACACTCGTGTCGGGCTTCGCAACCGGACAGTGTCTAACCTTGTGGCCCACCTCTTGGCAGTTGCCACAGACTGGAGGCAGCGAAGTGTACGTAACATCAACTTTTTTAACATCCCCCTTTGGCATGTCGAGCAGAATCTGATGTGGTGGCCGAGGATGTAACCGAATATCCACAAATATTCTGGCCACAGAGAAATTTTCTTTAGCCTCGGTCGCTCTATCCAGAAACAATGGCTCCCCTACAGACGTGGCAATGCCACTACAAAAAAACAGTCTTTTAGCAACGAAAAATTTTCGTTGCAAACCTACAAATTACGTTGCAAAACAGGGTTTTCAACGAAATTGCAACGAAAAAATTTTCGTTGCTAACTCGTCCTTGCAAACCAATATAGCGTTTCAAATCGTTGCAAATTGCAACGCTTTACAACGAAATATTTTCGTTGCTATTTGCAACGCAATTATTTCGTTGCAAAAGCGTTGCAACGCAATTTCATTGCTAAAATTAATATAAAAATAAAAAAATTAATTTAGAATTTAAGGTTTTTTAAAAGAATTAAATTAAAATTTAAAAAATAATTAATTAAAAAAATATTAATAAATATAAATATTAAATAAAAATAATATAAATATTAAATAAAGATAATATATATATATGTATATATTTGTAGAATTATAAAGTTTATTTAAAAGTTATAAATTAAGGTTTATAAATAAATAATTAACAAAAATAATAAAAATAATATTTAATAAAAATAATAAAATATATTTTTATTTGATTTTTTTTAAGAGTTGGGGATAGAGAGAGAGGTATTATATAATTTTTAGAGTGAGAAATTGTTGATGGATTGTGTTTGGGTTGTGTTGGATGTTGAATATATAGAAAAACATTGCAACGCAATTGCGTTGCAAATTTGCAACGAAATTGCGTTGCAAATCCAATTAGCAACGAAATTTCGTTGCAAAAGGCGTGAAAACCATAATCAATCGTAGCCACAAATTTATTTTAAATTTGCAACACAATTTCGTTGCTAATTGAATTTGCAACGAAATTTCGTTGCAAATTAGCAACGAAATTGCGTTGCAAATTTCTGTATTTATTTTTTCGAAAGTCAAATCATATTAATTTAAATGATAATATTTGCAATGAAATTGTTGCGTTGCAAAGCGTTGCAAAATTTCATTGCTAATTTGCAAAGAAATAATTTTGCAACGATTTTGCAACGCAATAATTTCGTTGCAAATTAACAACGAAATTTTTGCGTTGCAAAGTGTTGCAAAATCGTTATAATTTTTTTGTAACGATTTACCAAAAATTTTTGCAACGATTTTGCAACGCAAAAATTGCGTTGCAAATTAGCAACGATATTTTTGCGTTGCAAAGCGTTGCTAATTGTAGTAAAAAAATTTTGCAACGATTTATCAACGATTTTGCAACGCTTTAGCAATGCTTTGCAACGAAAAATTTCGTTGCTAATTTGCAACGCAATCTTTGCGTTGCAAAATCGTTTCAAAAATTTTTTCGTTACAAAACGTTGCTAACTTTGCAATGAAATAAATTTCGTTGCTAATTGAATATTTTTTTGTAGTGTGCGGCTCAAACCGTCGAGGCTGAAAAGTTTCTGTGGGACGTTCCTCAGCTCGACCCACGTTCGGACAGACTTGAGAGCCGGCTTGTCCAGATCATGATCCGGGTCCCATTCCATTACAAGGAGAGGGTGATCTCCTATATGCCATAACTCACGATCAAGTACATAGTTCTTCACGGAGAGGTTCGGTAGCTTAAACAGAAAGGAGCCATTTCCCATGGAATGAACACGGACCTTCAATCCACCGCGCACGCAAAGCGAGTTTATAAACCCAATGATATGCCCCATTGAAGGAGGCACCCCATAAAATTTCCCTATGACAAACAATTCCCATTCTTTCTTGGATGCAATCAGAGATTCTTCCGGAATGGTGACTATGGGAAGACCCGATGGGTGAAGTTTCGGCTCTCCAACCCTCTTCAAGTATTTGAGAGAGCTTGAAACCTGCTGACTCCAGGCAGGTTGGGGAGCCTGTGGTTGCTGGCCAGAAGCTTCGGAAACGCCGACTACGGGAAGGGCCGAAGATTTCACCGGTGACAAGGGATGAGACGTCGTGGGAGGAGCTGAAACACCCGCGGAAGCGGAAAAAGGAGCCGTAACCAGATCTGAAGTCACTGGAGGGACTGGAACACTTGCGATAGCAGGGAAATGAGAGGAATCCAGAGATAGAGTCAGCTGAGACACCTGGGCAGTGACTGGCCGCCCATCTAGAGAAGACGACGAAACCTGGGCCTGGTTGGAAGAGAGAATCGGAGGTTCAGAGATTTGCAGGTCTAGGGGATTTTTGGTAGATGAAGAAGGGGGAGAAGATGGAGAAGAGGAAGAAAGGTTTGGAGCTGTCATGATTTGGTGATTTTTCCGGCCGGCAGTGTGATACGTGTGTACCGAGTCTAAAATCTATAACCCGATTCACAACTCACCGCAAGGATACGGATCGTCGTAACACGGGGTCGAACACGAGGACCGGTTGCTAAATCCAAATCTAAATTAAAAATAGATCAAATCAAGCAAGCAAGTGATGATGGAAATATGTAGAATCTATGGAAAACGATATAGGAAAGCAATGAAAACGAGCGACCTATCAAACAAGGATGACTACGGGTGTCGGGATCGTATTCGCGTGTATGAGTATATGCTAAGCATGCGAGAATAACGATTATGACTTGTATTCGGGAATCATCAAGCAACAAAGATAGAGAATTCACCTCTCGGTCTACTAACTCCCTACCTACAGAGTAACTCGTCAATCTCTCGATCTATTCAAGTTAACCCTAGGTGCATGAAGAACGCTATCATCAAGCCTAGATCGATTAAACCATATCTCTATGTGAATAATACGATCTATCCTATTGATTTTGATCTGAAACCAACTCATATCTCTATGTAGTTTAGAATCTAAGATAATTGACCAAGGGGTTAGCAAACATCAATCCAATAAAAGCGCAAATCAATAGAACCGAAACAAATCAAAACCGAAATCCAAATTAGGGTTCAAACATACCCAAAACACATACGAATCCCTAACAATAAAAAGCTCATAAAGAAAGAGATAAAAGAGAGGAAAGAAATTCTCATGCAGATGTGTAGTCTCCACGATCGAATCTTCCTTCTTCTTCCCGAAATCCCGTGAACTTCTATTCTTCTCTCCCCAAAAACTCTCCAAAAATCTGTATCTAAGTGTTCTCTAAGGTTCTCCTCTGTTCTAGGACGTGGCTAGGGCTTTTTTATAACCCTAGGGCGGCTCCCAAGAGTCCTATTCCCATTCTGGTGCTGAAAATCGCGAAACAGGGTTTTTTACTGGATCCGGACCGATTCCAGGTGGATCCGGACCGGATCTAGATTCTTGGGGTCGAATTCTGCGTCCTTGATCCGGACCGGATCCAGTTGGATCCGGCCCTGCGCTGGCAGTTTTCTGGTCTTCATGAATTTGCTCATAACTTTCTACTCCGGTGTCGGATTTACGCGATTTCAGTGTCTACTTGAAGCTCTTGAAGTGTTCTTTCCAATGGTACAAGTCTCGCACAATATGGACCTCTGTAGAGAAAGTTATTGATATCGGAACATGAGTACCTTATCCGGACTTCTCCTTTAACGCTCCAAATAGCTCCTTTTTGAATCCAATCATCTTCGAAACCTGTAACTTTGAAAAACTAAAGCACAACCGGGTTTTGTGTCCTAACACGCCTAGAATGCCTATGAATGCATGTGATTATCCTATAAAACCTAGACAAACTCTCATCAAAATATAGAGAAAAATATGAGTTATTAAATCCCCCCAAACTTAAAAATTTGCTCGTCCTCGAGTAAAGAACGAAGGAATAAAATCTCCAAGACAGGGAATGACGAACATCAAATAGCATCATCGTGAGCCTCAAAAGTAAAACATCCATCCAACACTAGTTTCCCGAGAATCATACCCAAACCGGTCTACTATGATCTTCCTACCAAAAACTAATCTACCTAGCCTGGGATTTTTATTGCCACCTAGGATCCATTAGAATCTCTACAACTCACCAAGTCTATTTCCGAACCTATCATTATCTCAACTTAGCCTTTTCGATCTTAGTTCTCTTTCGTACATGGATTTTTACCTTTTTGTAGATTCTTTCTATCAAACACTAGCATCTCGGGTTTCTAGGACGTTGAAGTTGAAGGACATCGTTTTTCTCTCTTTTTTTTTTCTTCTTTTTTTTTCTTTTCTTTTTTTTTCGTTAAATGCGATGTTCGACCCACAACTTAGACCCGAACCATCGATTGATGCACTCATGTCCTCGAACGATTTTCGTTAACGAGATTCTGACAGCGGAGTGTCGAGATGTTTTATTTTCCCAAGGCGTTTGTCGAACTAGATTCCGTCGACCTGCAGGACTCGGAAAAAAAAGGTTCTAAACGAAACTTATAACCTGGATATAGTCGTTTCAACTCCGTAGGTTCTAAATAACAACCCCATCCCACAAACTATATATAGAAAGTCTGGAGAACTATCAATTCGACACGGTTCAACCATGTTCTACAAAGTCACTAGATCATCAAGATATTCCAACTCTATCATCCCACAAATCTTCCAAATGATGCTCAAAACGGGTTTTCGAGGTATGCACGTGAACCTATATGATCCTAAATCTATATGATCAAATGCAATCATGCAAACCTAACCATCTATATGAAAAGAAAGAAAACGTGTAAATGCAACTAATGCAAAGTGATATGCAAAAGATGAAAAATTTTCCTAAGTCTATATGCATGATAAAATGCACCTAAACTAAATGCAATCCTATGTAGATGGACCAGAATGTATGAAGGATCTATCCACCCCCCAGACTTGAACCATACACCGTCCACGGTATAGACTCTCGCCCGAAAAAGTAGAATCGAAAACAACGTATGGAAAGAACCAATAAGAGGGATAGAGAAGGCTTAACTCTGCGAAATTCGTTCGCTCGCAATGAAGTTAACTCACGTCAAATGCAAGAGCTCTCACAAACTCTGTAAACTGGAACCTATCCAACATTGTCTCTTGGAAGTCGATGCTCATCTCTCGTGTGCCTGCGTAAACGCTCATAGAACAACAAATGTTATCCGGACAAAAGCATAATAATAGCAATGCATTCCAAAGGATCCAAAATACAATCATGGTCTCTACTACCTATGCTACAAAGAAAAGAAAAAGAAAAGTTACCTAGTGCTCGGGTTGCCTCCCGAGAAGCGCTTGTTTAACCTCATTAGCTCGACCTATCTTGCTCAAATGATGGGAGGGTCTGAGAGGCAAAGATAATCGATCTTTCGCCACCCTGGATGTTGAGCATTAAGCGCATCTTTTGGACCTCGTGGATGCTTGAGCCTTCTATCCTCCTTGGGTTTCCAAACTTGTGAAGGAGGTGGATCTTGTGGACGTTTGAGCGATGATTTTGCTCGTTTCGATCCTCTCTTGCTCATTACCCCTACTTGACAACCTGTAATAGAACGTTCAAACACGGATATAGGATTATGAGCGGGATATGTACCTCTCTCCAATGATGGTCCTGTGTTCCTATCCGTGTATGTGTGTTTCTTTGTCATAAGCCTTTGAGGTAGGGGCTTCAATTTCACCTTCGGGGCATTCTCTAGACTCCAATCCGCTTTATTCAGCGTCCCCGTGCCAGGTGGTGGCTCTCTGGGCTCTAGAATGTCTTTAGTAATCGTCGTGGAGGGTTCAGAGACGTTCGTAGAAGAATCGGGCGTGTCGATGTGAAAAACATCTGATTTGCTCAGAGACTGGATCCGGTCCGATTCCAGATGGAATCGGTCTGTTTCCAGTTTGTCTTCGCAAGACCGTGTTTGGATCCGGTCTGTTTCCAGGTGAAATCGGTCCGGATCCACCTTCTGTAAAAATCCGTCTTCGGAAGGCTGTGTTTGGATCCAGTCCGTTTCCAGGTGGAATCGGTCCGGATCCATCTTCTGTAAAACTCCAATTTCGTCCGATCCTTCGTTCAATGCTCGCGTAAGCTCCCGGATATCCTCCCAATTGCTGTATATGCTCTCATTCGACGCAAGGAGAGATATCTCTAAAGGATCGACTTTCCGAAACTGATCGAAGACTTCTTGAGTGAGGATTTCATGCACATCGACATAGCATGCTGAATCGGTGGTGGATGGCTGCTTCATGTTGTGATCTAAGGTGAACTCCACAGTCTCGTCACCTATCTTCATCGTAAGACGACCAGCACGAACATGAACCACCGCATCGGCCGTGTTTAACAACGGTCGACCTAGTATAATCGGTATCTTCGAGTCCTCGTCCATGTCTAAGACAACAAAATCAACGGGAACATAATAATCCTCGACTTTCAATGGGACGTCCTCGAGAATACCTGCAGGATACTTGACGGATCTATCCGCAAGCTGTAGTGCCATCCTCGTCGGCTTAAGATCTCCAATATTGAGCTTCTTATAGATAGACAATGGAAGCAAGCTCACACTGGCACCCAAATCGCACAATGCACGGTCAATCTCAATGTTTCCGATTTTGCAAGGAAGCGAGAAACTACCTGGATCCGATCTCTTCCGTGGTAACTCATGCTGTAGAATCGCAACGCTCACCTCTGTGCTCAAGGATATTGTCTCCTTCCCAATCACCCTCTTCTTAGTCAAGATATCTTTCAAAAATTTTGCATAAGAAGGGATCTGGAGTATCGTCTCATAGAAAGACATCTTAACCTCTAACTTCCAAAGCATATCAACAAATCTAGAAAACTGTGTATCCTCAGTATGCTTCTTCAATCGAGAAGGGAAAGGAACAGGTGGTACATAAGGTGGAGGAGCTACATAAGGCGGTTCGGCTTCCTCTACATGCACCTTAGGTGTCCCGTGAGC